ATTTTAGTATCCTACTGCGTTTACCACTCTAAGAATTCACTCTCCCATATTATAATGCTCACACTTCAGCTTCAGAAATTTCAAATGTTAGCTGAACTATTATGACCAGTTCACATAAAATCTTATGATTCTTCTTCCTCAGCTTTCACCAGCAAAAGCATGTTCTTGCATCCTCTTCCCATTGAGAAGTTACTGGTTTTGGTTTCAGGTACAAGGCTAGTAGCTGCCTGATAGCATTTATATGCTCTTGTGTCAGAATAGGATTCTGTTCATTGTATGGCCTCCTCTGTGATTATTACGTGTGTGACTCTGGGTTTTTCCATCAGAAATAGATGTCCTTTATCTCAAGTTATTTGTTTATTTTTCAACTTACGTTTTCCAAAATTATCTATGAACTGAATGCTGTTCTAAAAGTACAATAAATTACTAACTCAGGGAGCAGCTCCATGTGCAAAGCAGACATATGTCTGACTTAGTGGGGATTGTTCTGGATAAGGCCACTTATGAAGGCTTGAGGAGTGGGAGTTGGTCTGAAAGAAAAGTGGCACAATTCCAAGAGAAGAACACTGCATAGGAAAGAGCCAGGACGGCAATAGCCTAGAGAGGTACCATCCTCAGTCCAATCAAGGCTCAGTGCCTTCACGTTTTCACTGGCCAGTTTTGGTTGTAGACTTGGGTGGAAGAGCCTCCCTTCCGGGGAGAAAGCACAGCTCTGCTCAGAGCTCTCCCAGCACAAGAGTCACTTACGTAGCTCCTTGGACGTTATTGTCTAAGAATATCTTTTAGAAAGCTTATTACCATTACTTTATCAGTGATTTAAAGCACAAATCCTGGTGCTTTGTATTATTGGGCTTGAGCCTCAGTTAATGCTTTATTTTCTTTACTTTATATTTTTGTCTTGCTATAGAGACGTTTTGTGACTTTTTTTTTGAACTAGTTGACTTGAAAAGAGGAATCGTTGCATTTCCATGTTCAGTTATTTCCTTCCTATCTACCAAACATCCAATTAACAATTTCCAAAAATGCACTCCAAAAGCTTTCATAATTTTTAAATACATCCCTAACAGGCATCATGTTTCTTAAAACATGAAAAATGTTTACATGGAATTTAGTTTACATTTTAAAGTAATAAACTTCTTATATAGAAGAATTTTGTTCAGCCTCTATCTACTTCCTTAATGTGTATATTGTACTCTTAAAATATATATTATTCTGTTTGGAAGAAATTAGGAGAAAATGTCAGCTTTTGATTTTATAAGATCATGGAAAATAAAATAAGCACACTTTTCTTTTTTACAACATAATGTTTTGCTTAGTGGTAGCAACCCTAGAAACTTCAGCTTAAAAACTGTTTGACTGTGTGTTACAGATTCTGAAATTTCTGATCTGTTTACCCATCAGCTCTCTAGTATGCTTGCTCATGTTTCCTAGCTGTAATTGAATGAAAGCCTGATAAAATGTTTAAAGCCAGGGCTTGTCAGTTCCTAGTCATAACATGTAGCTGATTAAACAACCTTGTATGGCTTTTCGACCATAATGCTCCCTTTCTATGCATTTTCCTAAACCTTTTCATTTACCTATGCCTACATTCCCTAATTCATATAGGAACATTTAATGGTAAAGTCTTTCTACCATGGAATTCCCTAATTGAATTATTTTCTATCTGCTGTTTCTTATTGGTACATTACATAATAGAGTTACTTGCTTTAGCTTTACATGATGTTGTTAGAGCTGCCCATTCCTTTTTTATTTTAAGGAATGAATACATTTAAGAACTTTAAAAAGCAAAATTAATTTTTTATATTTATGAAATTATGCTAAGAAACTACAGTACTACAAAAGAATTGACCTTGAGAGTTAAGTCAAGATTATAATTTTATAGTAACACAATTATAAAAATGGAATGTAGTAAAAGAAAATTAATAATATGTATAATTTCCAAAATGAGTATGGGTAATGACAAGTTTTCAAGGACTAGGAAGCAGCATGTTTCTGTGCACTTGGATTGTTCATCTTCCCTGTTACGCTGGCATTCCTCTTACAGCCACCACGACCTCAAATGTAGCTGGAGGCTGGATCTTTGTTTGGAAACATTTAATAAGTATTGTAGCCATGGGTTTTTAGACATTGTTTTCTCCCATTGTTTAATTGTGTTTTATTTGTATAAAATCCTTAGAATTTACTGAGACTTTTTAAATACATATGAAAGCAAGTACCAGTTTGGTGTAGTGGTGCACACCTTTGATCTCAGCACTTTGGAGATAGACGCAAACAGAACTCTGTGAGTTTGAGGCAGCCTGGTCTACATATTGAGTTCCAGGACAGCCAGAGGTACGTAGTAAGGCCCTATATCAAAAGAAAAACAAAAGTGAAAGGAAAAGAAAGAACCTAATTGTGATTTAAAAACAACAACATTAAGTACTTGTGCTACAGAACACATTGTATTAGATTTCACATCTATAGACTCTCATCCGAAGGTTTTATTTTCCTCTCTCTAGTAATTTTGTTAAAATTGTTGATAAATCACTTCATTTGTGGGCATTGTTTTCTATATGGAAATCAGTGGTACTCTTTCTTAGGAGTTTGTGCTCACTATCCAGAAATAGAGCCACTGAGCATCTCTAGTGTTTAGTTCAACACTAGAACTAAAGGAGAGTGAAGTCAGAGGCTTAAACAGTTTTGGTTCCAACCCAGGAACTCCCCTGACCATTAGGAAGTTGCTAGAGTGTAGTTGGAAGCCCGAGGGGCCAGTTCTGTAGTTACTGCACTTTTGTATTTGTGCACCAAGTGAATGTGTTTTTGTAAATGAAGTAACATCTCTGGAAATCTGAAAAACTACTTATGTTCCCCCTAAAGTAAATAAAGCATGTTATTATTTCTTGCACAGTAATTTGCTTAAAAGTATTCCCTTTTTTTCTGTTATATGGTGTTTGTTTCTTTGTGGTTCTTGTGGTAGCTCAGTCTGACCTAGAACTTGCCATTGTCTGCCCCATCCCCCTAGTACTCAAATATACCCACCCTGCCCAGCAGTTCCTTTTACTTTCTCTTTGAGAGAATCATTTACTTATAGGACTGAAAGCCTTGGAGTTCTCCTGGGCTATCATCTCTTTGTAATATATTAGTCGATAGTTTTCTCATGTACAGCGTGGAGCTTCAACAATTTATACTGTGCTTTTCTCTGACCAAAAACAAAAAAGGAAGCCCTAGAAGTGAAGTGCAGGCCAGCATTATGTGCCTTTTTATGTGGAAGAATCAAAGTCCTTATTTGCCAAGGAATAAAGGGTGTCTAAAGACGAATTTAATTTCTGTTCCACTTCTTTTGATAAGTTATAATATGGATGAACACATATTTTACCCTCCTTTGTAAACACATGGTGTAATGTCAGTCTCTTCAGCATAGAAATGGTTACAGATACTTTTCCAATTAGAATGTTTTGTGTAATGTGATGAGGAAATCAGGCAATATAACTTGATGATGGATATAAATCTACAGAAACTTGAATTTTCATATTTCTGTGTGCTCACTCATGTTAATTAAATACAGCTAAATATCAGTGCTTCTTTCAGAAATCAGCTTTAGAAAATATTAATAATTATCTGGATCTATCCCATTTCTATAGTTGTGATCCCTTCTTATGCTTTCATAGTAGATGGAATTACTTTGTCTAAGAAGCTATGGACATGATTCAGCAGATGAATAGGATTGGGTGAAATAGGAGATAGAAAAGCTCTACTTTTAGTTATTAAAAGTCAAGGAAAATCTAGAGTGATGGTGAGAATTCTGAACCTTTAGGTAATATTAACCCTCTAGCTTTTGTGTTACCATTCCTTAGCATCAGTTTCTCTTTAGAGTGTCAGAGTGGTCCCTGGTCGATGTCAGCATCACCTGAGACCTGCATGTATGCTCTCATATTACAGCTGTATACGCTCAGTCAGAAGTAGGGCGCTGGGCAGTCTCTGTCAGCAGGCTCTACTGTGATTCTGCCGCACCCTGCAGATGGCAAACCTATACATCCCTGTTCACTCCTTATTCCATAGCTCCTGTATGGCATGGAATCATCTCATGTTATATTGATTTTGTTGTTGTTGTTGTTCAATAGATCAATGTTGGATTTTACAAGACTACATATGGGTGGGCTTTATTAAAAATATCACTTACAAAACTAACTAACATTACTGACATCTCATTGTGTACTGGGTGCTTTTCTGCTTGGATTTTGTGCCTTAGCTGATTAATCTCCACTATGTAGATGTTAGGATGATCATTCTTCAAGTTGGCAAAGCTGATGTTCATAACATCACATGGCTTATTCTGTGACAGAGCCAATATTCCGCCTTAAGCAATCTTTCTCATCACTCATATCTACAAGACGTATATCTATAGCCAAAATATTAACCTGCCTGTGTGATAATATTTTCCTCTCCCACTTTTTTCTTTACTTACAACATATACCTGCAAAGCAACCACTTAAAATACAATACTGAACACTTAAATACTATTTTAGGAATTGAGAAAGTAAATGGGCTTAGGAAATGAAAATTTTACTCTGACAAAGCAAATAACCCGACTTTCAGTTACTTTTTTAGTTGTCTAGCTTTACAGGAAATGCTTTTTGAGAACAGGAGTTCTTTGTAACTGGTATAGTGACCACACAGTAGGCCTCAAAGCCGTTTTCATTGATGTTGTACGGAGACGTAGAAGAACTCATTTTCCCCTGACATTCCTAAATTTGTGGCAGGGTCTTTGGCCCCTTTGGGTGCAGAACTCAGGCTCTTTTTCACTGTGTAGTTGTTCTCATTCAGCTTCAGTCTACAGAGTAGACAGACACTTGACTCCACAAAACTGCGTCCCTTTCATATTTCCATATGAAGCTTTCTGTGTTCCATGGGCTCAAACTGGACTTTTACTGTGACTTATAAATATTTTAATTTAGAACTAAAGTTTATTTGGCATTTATATTGAATTATATTTACTAGTCTTTATGTCTTAATTTCAACAGCATCACAGCAAAACTTGAAAGAGCTTTAGAAAAAGTTGCTCCTCTTCTTCGTGAAATTTTTGTAGACTTTGCCCCATTCCTATCTCGTACACTTCTGGGCAGTCATGGACAAGAGCTATTGATAGAAGGTATGATTTCTCTATATATTCTACATATTTTACTTTCATGAAATGTACCTATTAATCATGGCATATCTTGTGCATTTAAAAAGATACGTATTGCCAAAAGATATCATTAGCTGCAGATTCTTATGAGACTGTGTGTATGCTTTCTCTTTACTCATTTTAAAATGCCACTTTGCAAAGTCAGTACCAATGACAGAATTCCAAATGAGGAACTTTGAAAGGTCTTCGCATGGGCAGCAGTGGCTCTTCAATCCCAGTCTTATTAGCAACACTACATCCTTCTCCTGGGACAGCATTTATTAAGCACTGGTCTCTTAACATTCCCTGATGTTCTGAGAGTCATGATTCTTCAAATGACTTTTTCTATCCATATGATGTTTTTAATGTAAGAAGCCAGTAAAAACATTGAGAAACACTGATGGGGATTTGATGAAGCTATTGTCTCCTTTTCAACAGCAGCTTAAGTCATATAGTGAATGGTAAAGATTTAATTTGTATACCGATAGTAGGAGAGGAGCTTTGAAAACTAGAGCCAATGAAACTTTATTTCATTTAAGCATTCAGTTTCTGGGTTTCAAAAAGGGAAGATCAGCATCAAGATGGCCCTGCACGTAAAAGAGGTTCTTTATACCCTTTTAGTGGCCTTCAGATTTAGTGCTTGTGGCCTCCACTTCTATTGTTGTTCTGCTTCTGCACAGTGTTTCTAGGAGGGCAAATTGTGATAGTCGATGCCAGCCCATGCAACCCACTACCTTGGTGTCCTATTTCTACGGTTTACTCTGTGGTCTTTGGGAATTGCTGAGTTACTATTAAATGAAGTATTTGGATGAGAATTAAATTGCATAATGCTTTTAAAGTTTCCAGACACGGTAGCTTGGGATAACAGGAAAATAACAATGTCTTTCAACTGAAGCAATGTGGAATAAAAAGTATCCATAGAGAGCCGAAACATCTTTGTCTTCTCCTGAGTGACTCCTAAACTGACACAGTTGTGAGAAGAGTAGGAAAGTCACAGTTTCTGTCATTACTTCCACCCACAGAGCGATGTAGGAAGTGTTTCAGGGAAAAGGACTCTGATCATCTCACTAACTAAAAGCTGCTCCTTAATGAAATTCATGCTCTAAGAAACTTGAAAACTTCACCTTGGCCACAGGTTGTGTTTGTCTCAGTACATTGTTTCAGATGTGTGTGATTCATTGAACAATATGTATCTCACGGATGCAGTGATACACCTGTCCTGAGTACTGTGATGGAAGGACCAGTTGCTAACCTCAAGGAGCTTACAGTCTACTGGGAAAGACCTATATTAGAACATACACTACATAGAGTATAGTGAAGCCAAGTGGCTGGATGACCACATACCCTTTTAGTGGGATCAGAAGCAGGTGTGGTCCTGGGCTTACTCCTGCCTGCTCTTAAAGCCTCTTTTCTCATCTTCACACAATTTTGAAGTGTCTCTTCCTTCTGTTTACTTACCATGACAGCCCAGCTGTGTCTTACGAATTCCAGACAGACTTTGAGCCAGATACAACATTAGATAGTAGGCTGTTCTAACAGTACCACAAGCACACTTTGAAGACGTTAGTCCCCTTTCTTTTCAGAGAGGTTTTCTTATAACATTATTCAATTGTTTTGTTACTAATATTACTCTTAATCTAAACATTTGAAAAACTACCTTATTCTTCCTTAAATTATTTTCCTTCTACTTGATATTTACAGTAATTTGGTAAGAAATGACAATTTCTGAAAATACTAACTTGAAGCCTAGTTCTCCAAACTGTACTGCAAATATTTTATCACATTGTTTGAAAACCTGCTTAGATGGCGGGAATGATGTTACAGTAGCTAAAAGTAGAGATGCTGTACATGTAGTTTCCAAGGGGATTAATGTTCATTGGTGCATTCTTTCTCACTTCCTTTGTTCATTTGGTTTTGTTGAGTGTATTTTCCTGAGGAGCAAAAAAACTGGTAATTTATGCTTTCGTGGTTTTTGTAACATGCTATTTTTATTTTAAATTTTCAGTAAATATTACTCAAAAATTAATGTAAATGTTTTCTCACACCTTGCAAAATAATGAGTGTTTTTCTGTATTCATGTGTAACTTCTTTTCAAAGTTTACAGGAATTAGAAATGCTAATAGGTAAAGAGTAAAGTTAATAATGTAATAATGCTATGTGATGGACCTTTTGGCCTTGTGTTGTTATTAAAATATAGCCGCACATTTTACATAAGTTATCAAGGAGTCAGAGCATCAGTAGAATTATAAAAGTAAAAGTTATAAGGCCATGGAGTGGCCTGCAGTCAAATCAGATACTGGGTGGTTACTCCCACAGCTTTGTGCCACCATTGCCTTTGCATATCTTGCAGGCAAGACTCCATTGCAGATCATGGGGTTTGTGGGTATATTGGTGTACTGAACTGCCTAAAGGTAGGTCCTGATCATATCAGGCAGTGTATCTTCAGAAATAACTGCTGTGTAGTATGTCTGTAAATGGACCATGGCCAATCTCTAAAATTGGGAATAAGTTTGATCACTGAAAGAGCATCATCAGACTAACAAACACACTTAAGCAGACATGTGAGGAGTCAGATTTCTCCTAATGATATATGTATTGGGACAGCTGCCTAACATATCACTCAGTGTACCTTCTGCAATTTTAAGCACTGAGCCCTGATGTGGTTTCTAGGACCTTTTTCCTTTCCAATCCTTTTGAATCAGTTTGTCATTATTAAAATAAATCTATGATTTTTTTAAAGACTCACAATACTGTTTTTACCTGTATATATTTGACTATTTGAGGTTCTAAAGAATTATTCCCAGATAATATTTTAACTATTATAACTTGGACAAAAAATATTCCTTTGTGTAGCTGTCTTTCCAGAATTTTCCATAGTCAGACATGTGGACTTTTTCTTATACCTTTTTCATCAGTAGGTGAAAGGCAAGAGAAATGGCTGGATGAACTCTTAAATATCCCTCAAATATTCTAAATTGAATTGAAAGACTGAAAGTAGGTCTCTATTGATAACAGTGATGTAAAATAGACTTACAAATGAGTGTTCTAGAGTTGAATTACTGCCACAAGCTAGAAATTAAAGATTCATTTTCTCCCTTTAATTGAATATAGTTTTATCCTATAGTTTTTCTGTAGTCAAGTTAAAATTATATATAATGATCATGTCCTTCCTCACTAATGTAAAAATAGTATTTCTTTATAATAGAATGATAGCAAATGGTAGATCTTCAAGCTGTGAATTTTGTTTTTTTAAATGTCATTCCTTGAGAAAGTAAAATGTTGATAGCCTTAATCCATGACCCTGCAAATGGCCCATCCAGTCTGTGTATCTAGGAATTACTGCTCAGCAACAGAATGAAGATCATACCTGCCAGAATGTGGTTGTTACTTTCCAGACTCCTCTGTTCTCTTTCCTCTTGCCGTAGACAGCTGGTAAGCAAGTCATACCTCATTTAGCTTTTATTGACTTCTTTGTTTTAGGTAAAGTTGTTTTCCGTTTAGGGTTCTCTTCCTTTTATGTAGACCTCTTTTCCTTTTACATGACGTTCTCTTCATTTTACAGAGTCTTCTTCCTGTCCTTTCCTCACCTCAAAATTACACTCTCCTTTTGACTTCTAGGACAGGGTCTGTAAGAAACATTAATGCACTCTCTTCAGTGCTTCTGTGTGACTTTTATTCTTTTATGGATGAAAAGTATCTGCACACTTTTTGTCATTTTCTCACTTAAATTTTATTACATAATTAATATCCAGTACTTTTCCCTCTACTTGAAAGGATGCTGTTTTTGCTACTGCTAATTTTTGCTAGAGGTAAAATTTTGTGTTCTTTGGTAAGAATTCCCAGTGTTGATCTGCTGTCCATACCCATGAGTTTTCTACTTCATTCTAGATTGTTCTCTACTCTACCCTATAGAAGTGCATGTTGTTTCCTGTTCTTGCTTGATTTTCATTTGGGGGATCAAACCCAGGACCCTAGGTATGCCATGTGAGTGCTGTGGTGCTGAGCTTTTCCCCAGCCTCCACATTCTTCCTCATGCTTCCATCATTCCATCTCCTTTGCTCTAATGTGACAGTTCCTCTCTTGAGAAGGAAAACTGTCAAAACAGTGTAAAGAAGCCAGGGAAATTACACAATCAACACTTCGTTTTCTTAGCCATTGATTATTTCTGTTTGAAATATTGCTTACTATGAATAAATCTTGTGACTTTTATTACCGTGATAATACATACTTTATCATATATGTATGACAGAAGCAAACCTTGAATTCATGTAACTGAAACCAGTTTCATGTTTTAAGAAAAGAAACCACGTTCAATGTCTGTATAATAAAATATATTTGAATTGTATCTTGGTTGGGTGTTTTATATTTAGTTTTCTTTCTCTACATGTAGTTGTTCAGTGTTCTCTTCAGCAGTCAATCACTGCTACTTTCAGATGTTCTCTGTTCTTTATTTGCAAGCTAAAACAGTATCATTAATGTTCATGTCTGTCGCTGTTATTCAACATGTTTTTTAAACTTATTATGTGATTCCACAGCAAGTATTAGTGCTACTTTTATTTTGCCTTTGGTAGACAAGACTGTAGTTATTCAAGTTTTAGTTAGGTTCTTTTTTAAATGTTCAAATTCTTTATGAACTACACGGTGTAAAAGTACCTTGGAGTAAATACAGATCCAAGTGTCAAAACCCTCAGCAAAGATGACAGAAAAATAATGAGTGATCAAAAGTGTTAGGCTGTGTGACTTGCTGCACCAGTGGAAACTGCATACCAGTGAAATCAGAAAGCATTTCTCAGAGATCTGAGAGGCTAGGCAGATGGCCCAGTACACCCACACAATCATGTGGAACAGAATTCAGACCCTGTATGAATGTGATATCCTGCTTGTGAATGCAGTTCTGGAGAGGCAGAATGCAGTTCTAGACAAGCCGTATGGGTGAGCTCTGGGCTCAGTTGAGAGACTGCCTCAGTGGATAAAGTCCCTCACTT